CTCCCTTTCCTTTTGCCCCCTTTCCTATGCTTATTCCCCTCTACCCCCAATAGCTTTTATATTTACCCTAACTGCCCCTCTTTTTTTTTTTAAACCCCAAACCCTCTCTTCCCTGATGCTTCTTTTTCCCCTTTGTTCCCATCTCCTTTTACTCTCAGGTAGCTACAACTAGAAAGTGATTGATATATCTGTGGCCCCCGATAAACTGTACATCCTGAAGTCTCTAAACAGTCTTTTATTACTAATACAAAAATCCAAAAAAATACTGTCTTTGCCCTACATAATATGTGTATACTTATTTACCCTCTTTTTTTTAAAATAGATTCCCTATAACAAAACCCCCTTTTATACAAAGTTCAATAAAAGGGCCCCCATTATCATTTACACCTGGACCCCAAATTTTACCTACCACCCCTCTCAAAATTTCCCTATTTAGATTCAGGTCCCCTCCCACAATTACTCTCTCACTTGGTTCAAAGGCCTATACATTCATTTAAAACATCTCCCAAAATCTCTCTCTCCCCTCTGCATTCCTCTCTTCCCCAGGTGCATCACGCTTATTATGCCCACTTCTCGCATCCAACCTTTACTTTAACCCACATAATTCTCAAATTACACATTCTATTTCTTTTTCCCCTTTCCCATACGATCATTTAACTTACTTTTTCCCCCCTTCCTTTGCTCTAACTCTCTAGTACTCCAGTTTTAAACCCATTTATTTCCCCCCATGAAACTCCCCTACCCCCTTCAGCTTTGTTTCGCTTAGAGCCGGGACATCAACTTCTTTTCATTCATAACATCAGAATCATCTTTTTCTTGTCATCCGCATACTCCACGCACATTTAAACAACCAGTTTTATAAAGTTTTTCTTTTCTCTTTTTTAGTAAAAGTATACGGAAGGGGGTTACTAGCCATTGCTCCCGGATTTTTAGCGCCTCTTACAACGCATGGGTTACGGGGGAAAGATTCTTTTCCATTCCCCATATTTTAATTATATAATTATATATATATTATATATATATATATATATATATTTATTATTATATATATATTTATATATATCACACCACACACAACACACACACAAAACACACACCACACCCCACACACACCACACAACACACACAACACCACACCCACACACAACACACACAAACACACACACACACAAAAAAAAAAAACCCCCCCACACACACACCCCCCACACACACAACACACACACCCCCCACACACAACTTTTACAGTGGACCCCGGGTAAAAGAAAATTTTTTTATTTCCAGTTGTATGTTAGGTGCCAAATACTGACCCATTTTTTTCCCATAAGGAATATTGTGAAGTAGATTAGTCCATTTCAGACCCCCAAACATACACGTACAAACGCACTTACATAAATACACTTACATAATTGGTCGCATTTGGAGGTGATCGTTAAGCGGGGGTCCACTGTATATATAAACATGTGTCATGTGTGAAGGCTTAAGCACATGCACTCCATTATGTTGACTTTAATGTTATAATTTTTGGATAATAATTATGACAAAATTTATCTCTTGATGTCTTTTACAAGTATTTTATCTTGCTATAGGAATAATCCTGTTCATTATAAATAAAAACTTAGATTATCTGTGCATAATCCAAATAAATAACAAGACCCCCTTTTCTTTATTTCCCCAGGTCTTAAATGTTTTAGTCATGGGTGACTACCCCTTTTAGACTTTGAACGTGACAAAACATTGTAGCAAAATCACATGTTTCCTTAAAAAAATAAAAAAAAAATCCCTGGGAAAAGGGTGGAATCTATTACCAAGATTTTTCCCAAAAACGGGTAGTTGTTCTTATGTTCCGTCTTTTTTTGTCACTGACTTTTGTTAGTAGTCTTAATTTGTTTTCATCATTATACTCATTTGTTTTTCTCTGTCCTAGTTTGTCAGTCTGCTTGCCAATCTGCTTCACCTAATCTTCCATAGACCCCACCCTCAATAAGATACAGTGGAACCCTGAGTTTCGGCTGCCCTGAATATCTGCCATTTCGAGTTTTGGCTAGCCGTTTTTTTCTGCTAAATTTTGTCCCGAGTTTTGGCCGTTGCTGAAACTCGGGACATGTTTCAGCCGGCATACCAGACCCGCTGCCTGCCCCTGCCCGTGCGTCTCTCCGCGCAGGCATTTTTAGTCAGTCAAGCTTTGTTTATCCTTGAGTGAACATTACCCTGTGCACTCATCCGAACATTTCACAATAAATTCGTTGTGTTTAGTGCTTGTTTATTGATTGTGACTGTGAAATAAGCCACCACGGGCCCAAAGAAACTTCATAATGGCAGCCCTTTGGTAAAGAAAGTGAGAAACACCATAGAAGTAAAGGAGATAGTACAAAAATATGAGAGTGGCGTATGTGTGGGTGAGCTTGCCAGGATGTAAGGCAAAAACAAAACAGCAGTCACTTCTATCCTGGCAAAGAGAAAAGAACTCAAGGAACCTGATGTTGCGAAAGGTGTTGACATGTTAACCAAAAATAGAACACAAACAGTCGAAGTGGTTGAAAAGTTGTTGGTGGTGTGGATCAACAATAAATAGACAGGAGGTGATAGTGTTTCAGAGTCAACCATTTGTGAAAAGGCAAGGCAGTGCCATGCTGATCTTGTAAAGAAAATGCCTGGAACCAGTCCTGATGTTAGTGAATTCAAGGCCAGCAGAGGCTGGTTTGACAGATTTAAGAAGCATAGTGGCATACACAGTGTGGCAAGGCATGGTAAGGCTGCCAGTTCTGACAAATTGGCAGCTGAAAAATATGTGCTTGAATTCAAGGGGTACATAGAGGCTGAAGAATTCAAACCACAACAAGTGTTCATTTGTGACGAAATAGGCCTCTTTTGGAAGAAAATGCCAAAGAGGACCTACATTACTCAGGAGGAAAAGGCACTGCCAGGACACAAGCCTATGAAAGACAGGCTAACTCTTTTGTTCTGTGCTAATGCTAGTGGGGATTTTAAAGTGAAGCCTTTACTGGTGTGTCACTCAGAAAATCCCAGAGTGTTTAAGAATAACAATGTCATCAAAAGTAAATTGTGTGTTGTGGAAAGCTAATCATAAGGCCTGGGTCACGAGGCAAATTTTCAAAGAGTGGGTCCATGGAGTGTTGGGTCCCAGTGTGAAAAAATACCTCCTGGAAAATAATTTGCCACTCAAGTGCCTCCTGGTAATGGACAATGCTCCTGCTCATCCTCCAAACTTGGTAGACCTCTTGTCTAGGGACTTCAGTTTTATAACAGTGAAATTCTTGCCTCCTAACACCACTCTTCTCCTCCAGCCCATGGACCAGTAGATCATTTCTAACTTCAAAAAACTCTACACAAAAGCAGTGTTTGAAAGCTGCTTTGAAGTGATCTTGGACACTGAATTGACCCTAAGAGAGTTCTGGAGGAATTGCTTCAATATCTACAACTGCATAAGCCTTATAGGTAAGGCTTGGGAGGGAGTGACTTCCAGGACTTTGAACTCTGCTTGGAGACAATTGTGGCCACAATGCATTGTCCAGAGGGATTTTGAAGAGTTTGAGGCTGACCCTGACCCTGCTGACCCTCTGCCTGTTGTGGAAGGTATTGTGGCATTGGGCAAGTCCATGGGGTTGGAGGTAAGTGGTAAGGATGTGGAAGAGTTGGTGGAGGACCACAGGGAAGAGCTAACCACTGATGAACTGCTAGAGCTTCAACTGGAACAGCATCAGACCACAGCTGAGGAACTTGGTTCAGAGGAGGAAGGAGAGGGAGTGAAGGAGGTGCCCTCTTCAGTGATTAAGGACATGTGTGGAAAGTGGAATGAGTTGCAAAGTTTTGTTGAAAAGTATCACCCTGACCAAGCTGAAACAAGCCATATCTGCAACATGTTCAGTGACAAAACCTTGTCCCACTTCAGGGAAATCTTAAAGAGACACCAGAAACAGAGCATTCTTGACAGTTATTTTGTGCGACAGGAGTCCAATGACTCTCAAGCTGGTCCTAGTGGCATTAAAAGACAAAGAAGGGAAGTAATCCCAGATAAGGACTTGTTACCTAAAGTCTTTATGGAAGGGGATTCCCCCTTCCAAACAATAAGTCCTCCCTCTCTCCTCCCTATCTTCCAGATGCCAGCAAGACTCTTCAATAAAGGTACGTAAATGTGATTTTAAATGTTTATGTATTGTATTACTCATTTAAGTATTTATATTTGTTGTTTGTACGTTAAACTATAGTTATTCTCTAAAAAATGTATTTTTTGTGAATATTTTTTGTGGGTCTGGAACAGATTAATTGTATTTAAATTATTTCTTATGGGAAATATTGCTTTGACTTTTGGTCATTTTGAGTTGAAGCCTAGCTCCTGGAACGGATTACAGCTGAAACTCGGGGTTCCACTGTATATAAAGACATTTACTTCCTCTAATTTTCCTCTCCAGTCTGATATGCAGTCTTTCATTGCCTAGATTTTTGTTTATGCTCATTACCTTGGTCTTTCCTCTGTTCATTCTTAATTTCCTTCTTTTACATACACTCCCAAATTCCTCTCCAACCTTTACAACTTCTCTTCATAATCTTCCAATATAATTGTCATTGACAAAGAGCAACTGTGACAATGCCCATTTCATATCAAGTTATCTTTCAATCCCATGCCTCTCTGCAACACCCTGGTGTTCACTTCTTTCACAACCCCATCTATAAATATGTTAAACATGGAGACATCATACATTTCTGTCTAAGGTTATTTTACTGGAAAATAACCCCCAGCTCTCCTGCATACCCTAACCTGAGCCTCACTAGCTATGTAAAAACTCTTCTGCTTTTAGTAACTACTATCTATTCCATACCTTTGTAACATGTGTGACATTGCTCTCTACCTTCTCTATCATGTCTTTTCTAAATGCATAAATATAATAAAAAGCTTATTGTCTTTATCTTAGTATTGTTCACTTATATGCCTTATGTAAACACTTTGTTTATACATACTTTACCCTTCCAAAATCTTCCAGGTTCCTTTACAGTCCTGCTTTCTGCCTTAATCTTAATCCTTTCAATAATAACTCTGCCGTACTCTTTACCTGGTGTGTTCAAAAGGCTTATTACACTATAATTCTTATTCTCTCTTGTCCCATTTTTCCCCATGTACAAAGGAACTGTGCATGCTCTCAGCTAAACCTTAGTAGGTACCTTTCCTTTCATGCATATATTGAACAAATACACCAACCACTCCATAGGTATATCCCCACCTGATCACATATGTCCTAGCTGCTGTACCCTCTCATTCTACCCTCTGCCTCAAACACTTCCCACACTCTCATTTGGCTCTTCCATGCTCCTTTAGAATGTTATACCTTCCTGCCCAATGCATGATATCACTATCTACATTTCTGCATCAATATTTAACAGCTCAAAGTATTACCTCCATTTTATTATCTCCACTTATCCATCTAACATTTCCTCTTCCTTGTTATTAATTGCTAAATCCATTTGTTACTTAAGCTTCCTTGGCTTATTACTCACTCCATAACTTTTTCTCATCCTCAGCAAAATTTGCTAATAAAGCTTCAGCCAAACTTATTGGCTCTCCTTTTGTGCTAACCTGGCCATTCTTTTAACCTCTTTGTCTCTCCATATACTCTACCCTCCATATATCATTTCTGCATTTTAAAAATCTCTCATATACTAACTTTTGCTCCCTTACCACCCTCTTTTCCTCATCATTCCATCCAGTGCTCCTCTTTTCCTAATCATTCCATCCAGTGTTCCTCTTACTGCCCTCTTGTCCTCATCATTCCATCCAGTGCTCCTCTTCCCACCCTCTTTTTTGTCATATATGAAAAAAAATTAACACCAGTCATCTAGGTAGGGTAACCCCCCCTCAAAAAATAAAGAAAAGATAAAAACATCCAATGTCACTCATTCTCTAGCTGTCTTAACTGCTATGTACTATAAATTAATATAAATGGAGAACTTTTCAGAACTTTCATTCCCTAAGATTAAATGATTTTCTGCTTAGCATTCTTGAATATTTACCAAAATTTTCAGTGTAATGAAGAGCAGAGAGAAATCACCTTCAGTTTAAACCGGTCACCCCCGTCTCCGAAGTGGCACATCAAATTAGATGAAAAGGACTGGGAGGCTATACTTCCCATTAATTCCGGGGGAACTTCGACAACTGTAAGTACAGTATTTTACTCAGCTTAAGAACGTTTAAAAGCTTATGTAGATTATGCATATTTCCATAATCCTATATCCAGTAGTGTGATAATGTGCAAGCAAACTTGCTAGCCTAGTGTTTGGCAGAATAATACAACATTATTTGTAGTGTGAATTGAGGAGGAATAATGTAAGAAATAATACTAAGGGGAATAGTTTTAGGAATTGTTATTTACTAGCTACACATAAAAAAGTAAATATATGAAATAACTTGATCTAGAAGTAGTAGGGAGGGAGGAAGACAACGAACTGCATGAAAAGGAAGTATTAGTGTCAGTAATGATTATAGGCTAGTATTACTCTGCTTATGTGGACCACACACATGCTGAGAAGCAGGCCTCATTTTGATATGTATATCTGATTTATTTTACACTTAAAATCTAAAAATGTTATAATATTAGGTACTTATTAAGCTAAATAATAAATAAATATTTGTACTTACAGATTTTGACAGCACTTTATAGGAGGGGTTTGGGATATTGGCTGTTTGGAGTGACATCTAAACTGTCATATCTGGACGTCTCTGCAAAGATGTCCAGATATGAATGATGGTGATGGTGTTTCTTTCCGATGAGTTAAAAAAAAAAAGATTTTGGCTGCTTACTAAAAATGAAATTATATGTTACATTTTTATTTCTCTTTATAGCCTGACCTTGTGAGACCCCTGCTCATGCTTCACCCTATAGAAATTGCTCGTCAGCTAACGTTGCTTGAGTTTGAATTGTACAGAGCAGTGAAGCCATCTGAATTAGTGGGGACGCCATGGACCAAAGAAGACAAAGAAAAACGCTCGCCAAATTTGCTCAAACTGATCTACCACACAAACTATGTAAGATAATAAGTAGATTATTTATTATTACTATAATTCCTTGAGAAGTTGAGTGGCCTTGAATTCCATTGAGATGGAAATATAGTAAATTTTATAGAAATGGTCTATATCAATGTTCTGATACTGTGTCTGATTTTGTATTCAAAGCATCGAATCCCTCTTAAAAAAAAGAGTCTGCATTCCTCTGCTAACTCGCAAGTAATTGCACTCATAGTAATTCTTGTAGATAATTGATTCAGAGAACCCACAAGTTGATGAATTAGACACTTGTACAACACTTGTATATCTTTATTGTGGAAGCATTTTGCGAAACAGTGGCTTCGTCAGTCCAGTATAGAGAAATATGATCAGAAGGAGTTTGAGGTAATCAGTCCCTCAACCTGGAGTCGATGTGATCAGTCCATCAGTCTTGATGGACTGATGAGTTCTGGAGGTGGGAAGCACAGTGCCTGGACACTAATGGAGGGGTTTGGGATATTTGCTGTTTGGAGGGACATCTAAACTGTCATCTGTGTTCCTCTGACAAGAAAAGAGATAGTGTGAATGCTGGTGAAAGTTTCTTTTTCGAGTCACCCTGCCTCATTGGGAGACAGCAAGCATGTTAATAAAAAAAAAATACTTAGACATATTACCATTTAAGAAAAAATAATATATATTTTCAAATAATAGCTTCTTTTAAGCATTCCTTTAATCATATTCTGCTTCCTTTGAGAGATTTTTTTTTTTTTTTTTTTTTTTTCTTCCAACAAGTCGGCCGTCTCCCACCGAGGCAGGGTGACCCAAAAAAAAAGAAAGAAAATCCCCAAAAAGAAAATACTTTCATCATCATTCAACACTTTCACCACACTCACACATTATCACTGTTTTTGCAGAGGTGCTCAGAATACAACAGTTTAGAAGCATACACATATAAAGATACACAACATATCCCTCCAAACTGCCAATATCCCAAACCCCTCCTTTAAAGTGCAGGCATTGTACTTCCCATTTCCAGGACTCAAGTCCAACTATATGAAAATAACCGGTTTCCCTGAATCCCTTCACTAAATATTACCCTGCTCACACTCCAACAAATCGTCAGGTCCCAAGTACCATTCGTCTCCATTCACTCCTATCTAACACGCTCAGGCACGCTTGCTGGAAGTCCAAGCCCCTTGCCCACAAAACCTCCTTTACCCCCTCTTGAATCTGCAGTTCAGTTGTTGAATCACTTTCTGAATAAATTCATCATCATCCCTTTGTTTTCCTCTAGTATTACTCACCATCTTTTTGGACATACTTGGCTGGCCAGTGTTTTAGCAGCCTTTAGACATATTTTCTTTTTCCTTTAATTTTTTATAAATTTCCTGTTTTTTTTTTAACAAGTTGGCCATCTCCCACTGAGGCAGGGTGACCCAAAAAGAAAGAAAATCACAGAAAAGAAAATACTTTCATCATCATTCAACACTCGCCTCACTCACACATAATCACTGTCTTTGCAGAGGCACCCAGATGCAACAGTTCAGAAGCATATACAGATATATAACATATCCCTCCAAACTGCCAGTATCCCAAACCCCTCCTTTAAAGTGCAGGCATTATACTTCCCATTTCCAGTACTCAAGTCCGCCTATAAAAAAATAACCGGTTTCCCTGAATCCCTTCACTAAATATTACCCTGCTCACACTGCAACAGCTCATCAGGTCCCAGAAGCTATTTGTCTCCATTCACTCCTAACTAACACGCTCATACATGCTTGCCGGAAGTCCAAACCCATCTCCCACAAAACCTCCTTTACCCCCTTCCCACAACCTTTTCTAGGATGACCCCTACCCCGCCTTCCTTCCCCTACAGATTTATATGCTCTCCAAGTCATTCTGCTTTGATCCATTCTCTCTAAATGACCAAACAACCCCTCTTCACCCCTCTGACTTATACTTTCAGTAACTCCACACCTCCTCCTAATTTCCACACTGTGAATTCTCTGCATAATGTTTACACCACACACATTGCCTTTAATGTAACCATTAGTATATCACTTATACTCTATAACCTACAATTTGTTTCAGTCAGTTCAGTCAATGTTTATAATGTATTTATAATTACCTACTTGAGTTTGTAAGGACTGAGCTACAGCTATTGAACCAGACTTAATTATTTACTGTCTGCTGTGAATTTACTTTTATATTATAACTTTTATTACATTTATATTTGAATACACACATACTGTGACACAGTTACTTTTTGCTGATGATACTGTGCTTATGGGAGATTCTAAAGAAAAATTGCAAAGGTTATTGGACGAATTTGGGAGTGTGTGTAAAGGTAGAAAGTTGAAAGTGAACATAGAAAAGAGTAAGGTGATGAGGGTATCAAATGATTTATTTATTTTATTTTTTATTATCACACTGGCCGATTCCCACCAAGGCAGGGTGGCCCGAAAAAGAAAAACTTTCACCATCATTCACTCCATCACTGTCTTGCCAGAAGGGTGCTTTACACTACAGTTTTTAAACTGCAACATTAACACCCCTCCTTCAGAGTGCAGGCACTGTACTTCCCATCTCCAGGACTCAAGTCCGGCCTGCCGGTTTCCCTGAACCCCTTCATAAATGTTACTTTGCTCACACTCCAACAGCACATCAAGTATTAAAAACCATTCGTCTCCATTCACTCCTATCAAACACGCTCACGCACGCCTGCTGGAAGTCCAAACCCCCTCGCACACAAAACCTCCTTTATCCCCTCCCTCCAACCTTTCCTAGGCCGACCCCTACCCCGCCTTCCTTCCACTACAGACTGATACACTCTTGAAGTCATTCTGTTTCGCTCCATTCTCTCTACATGTCCGAACCACCTCAACAACCCTTCCTCAGCCCTCTGGACAACAGTTTTGGTAATCCTGCACCTCCTCCTAACTTCCAAACTACGAATTCTCTGCATTATATTCACACCACACATTGCCCTCAGACATGACATCTCCACTGCCTCCAGCCTTCTCCTCGCTGCAACATTCATCACCCATGCTTCACACCCATATAAGAGTGTTGGTAAAACTATACTCTCATACATTCCCCTCTTTGCCTCCAAGGACAAAGTTCTTTGTCTCCACAGACTCCTAAGTGCATCACTCACCCTTTTCCCCTCATCAGTTCTGTGATTCACCTCATCCTTCATAGACCCATCCGCTGACACGTCCACTCCCAAATATCTGAATACATTCACCTCCTCCATACTCTCTCCCTCCAATCTGATATCCAATCTTTCATCACCTAATATTTTTGTTATCCTCATAACCTTACTCTTTCCTGTATTCACTTTTAATTTTCTTCTTTTGCACACCCTACCAAATTCATCCACCAATCTCTGCAACTTCTCTTCAGAATCTCCCAAGAGCACAGTGTCATCAGCAAAGAGCAACTGTGACAGCTCCCACTTTATGTGTGATTCTTTATCTTTTAACTCCACGCCTCTTGTCAAGACCCTCGCATTTACTTCTCTTACAACCCCATCTATAAATATATTAAACAACAACGGTGACATCACACATCCTTGTCTAAGGCCTACTTTTACTGGGAAAAAATTTCCCTCTTTCCTATGTACTCTAACTTGAGCCTCACTATCCTCGTAAAAACTCTTCACTGCTTTCAGTAACCTACCTCCTACACCATACACCTGCAACATCTGCCACATTGCCCCCCTATCCACCCTGTCATATGCCTTTTCCAAATCCATAAATGCCACAAAGACCTCTTTAGCCTTATCTAAATACTGTTCACTTATTTGTTTCACTGTAAACACCTGGTCCACACACCCCCTACCTTTCCTAAAGCCTCCTTGTTCATCTGCTATCCTATTCTCAGTCTTACTTTTAATTCTTTCAATAATAACTCTACCATACACTTTACCAGGTATACTCAACAGACTTATCCCCCTATAATTTTTGCACTCTCTTTTATCCCCTTTGCCTTTATACAAAGGAACTATGCATGCTCTCTGCCAATCCCTAGGTACCTTACCCTCTTCCATACATTTATTAAATAATTGCACCAACCACTCCAAAACTATATCCCCATCTGCTTTTAACATTTCTATCTTTATCCCATCAATCCCGGCTGCCTTACCCCCTTTCATTTTACCTACTGCCTCACAAACTTCCCCCACACTCACAACTGGCTCTTCCTCACTCCTACAAGATGTTATTCCTCCTTGCCCTATACACAAAATCACAGCTTCCCTATCTTCATCAACATTTAACAATTCCTCAAAATATTCCCTCCATCTTCCCAATACCTCTAACTCTCCATTTAATAACTCTCCTCTCCTATTTTTAACTGACATTTCCATTTGTTCTCTAGGCTTCCTTAACTTGTTAATCTCACTCCAAAACTTTTTCTTATTTTCAACAAATAAGAAAAAGTTTTGGAGTGAGATTATATAAAGAATAATTGGATATCCAATTTGGGAGGAGGAGTATGGAAGAAGTGAATGTTTTCAGATATTTGGGAGTTGACGTGTCAGCGGATGGATTTTTGAAGGATGAGGTTAATCATAGAATTGATGAAGAAAAAAAGGTGAGTGGTGCATTGAGGTATATGTGGAGGCAAAAAATGTTATCTATGGAGGGAAAGAAGGGAATGTATGAAAGTATAGTAGTACCAACACTCTTATATGGGTGTGAAGCTTGGGTTGTAAATGCTGCAGCGAGGAGGCGGTTGGAGGCAATGGAGATGTCCTGTCTAAGGGCAATGTGTGGTGTAAGTATTATGCAGAAAATTCTGAGTGTGGAAATTAGGAGAAGGTGTGGAGTTAATAAAAGGATTAGTCAGAGGGCTGAAGAGGGTTTGTTGAGGTGATTTGGTCATTTAGAGAGAATGGATCAAGGTAGAATGACATGGAGAGTGTATAAATCTGTAGGGGAAGGAAGGCGGGGTAGGGGTCGTCCTCGAAAAGGTTGGAGGGAGGGAGTAAAGGAGGTGTTGTGGGCGAGGGGTTTGGACTTCCAGCAAGCGTGCGTGAGCGTGTTAGATAGGAGTGAATGGAGACGAATGGTATTTGGGACCTGACAAGCTGTTGGAGTGTGAGCAGGGTAATATTTAGTGAAGGGGTTCAGGGTAACTGGTTATTTTATATAACTGGACTTGAGTCCTGGAAATGGGAAGTACAATGCCTGCACTCTAAAGGAGGGGTCTGGGATATTGGCAGTTTGGAGGGATATATTGTGTATTTTTATACATATATAATTCTAAACTGTTGTATTCTGGGCACCTCTGCAAAAACAGTGATTATCTGTGAGTGAGGTGAAAGTGTTGAATGATGATGAAAGTATTTTCTTTTTGGGGATTTTCTTTCTTTTTGGGTCACCCTGCCTCGGTGGGAGACGGCCGACTTGTTGAAAAAAAAAAAAAGAACTTACTGTCAGCTTCTACTATGTCATTAAACTCATTCCACTTCTTTACTACTTTGACATTCAAGAATGGTTCCCTAATGTATGTTCAGCTTTTATCTATGTCCCCTCATTCTGGATCCCTCCCTGGTAAAGTGCCAGCTTTTGTCTAGTCCCTATTCTGAAAGTGGTCAAGCATTTTGAGTATAATTTTGTATGATTATTATTATTATCAAAATTTTGATCCGATCAAATTTTTGTAAGCTTGCAGGATATTAGGAATTTTTATGATTAAAAATGTTTAACAAATTCATTTAGAAATTTGTCTAGTCACTTTACATACACATCAAATTGTTAATGTAGTAATGCAGTAGGACCCCTGTATCCGCAGGGGATGCTTTCAAAGTACCTGCCATGGATATCGAAACCATGGATAGTAGCAAACTCTATACACAAATCATTTTTCCTTCACATTCATACCTATTATAAAGTTTAATTGATAAATTATGCACAGTAAGTGGAAAATTATCACTTTTTCAATGATTGGAAGCACTTCACAACTTCTCTTAGGTTTTGAAGAACTTCCACCAATACTGCTGTTGCACTTTGAGACCATCATTAAGCAAAATTAAGGCTTACTTTCAGGCCACGGTGAAGTGTGGATAACTGAAACCAGGGATCCTAGACCTGTGGATATGGGGTCCTACTGTATTTACCTTATATTTAAGGAAATTGCATGCTACAGATACCATTTATTGAATTACATAAATTTTTTTTTTAGGTGACACGATGGTTCATGCGATGTATCGTGGACTCTGACAACTTTGAAGAGCGTGTGGCTGTGATGATGAGGGTTGTGGAGATTATGGTTATGTTTCATGACCTCAACAACTTTAGCGGAATTTTTGAAGTGTCCAGTGCCCTAGGGTCAGCAGCTGTACACAGACTAGAGCATACCAAAATGGTATGAGTAGTATTCATTTTGTTTCTAAATAACAAGTGGTAAAAGCATAACATATCCTTCCATAGGCTTTGTTTGAAAGCAAGAGGACTAGAGAAGGTACAGGCATACATACAGCAAAATTCCCATGAAGTCATTTGGAGATTAAAACATAGTAGGCTGCCCCTGTTCTTGTTTTGTATAGTCCCAGAATGTATGGATTTACATGTGTACAGTTTATAAGTTTAACACCAGCTTTACTAAACACAGTATGGTCTGCTCACATTGAAGTTGGTAAAGCTGGTTGTTTTGAGAGACAAAAATGTGAAAACATGCATTCTGAGAATGCAGAAAGTACTGAAAATACATTTCAAGACATCAGAATATATATTGGTCATAAAGGTATATAAAATGATTTTTGTATCATATCCTCTGAATGACCTACAAATTGATTTGGATGGTGTGTGGGTCAAGGCATGTGCCAAGGCTGGAGTTGGGAACAGCAGTGACTCTTGCTGTTGTATTTTGCCTAACACTTGTATCAAGAAATTCACCAACAGGAAAAGGTTTAGACTCTGTCCTAGGTTAAGAAAGGTTAAAAAAATTTTATGTTGTAATAATTTTAATATTGCAAGATAAGGTTTCTTGTACATAATTTTGATTGCTAGGCCATGTTGATCATGTGCTGTTGTATAGCTAATATCCTTGTTACTTGGGAGATTTATATTGAAACATTGTTACTAATATGTATGTGAAATAGATAGTATATTTAATTTTATGCAACCAGGGCTCCATCAATTCTCAAAAATTTTACTTTTTTTCCAATAGGAGGTTAGGAAACGTCTTCCACCAGGTCAACTAAAAGTGTTTGAAGAAGCATCTGAACTAAGTGAAAACCATTGTAAAAAATATCAAGAAAAACTTCGTTCCATCAATCCTCCTTGTGTACCATTCTTTGGTAAGTTTTTGTTTATAATTTGTTTAGAATTGTTGCTTGTTGATGAAAAATTTGTAGCACTGCATTAAAAAAATAATAAACAAAAACAGTGGAATCACATTGGTTTTTATTTGAAATTAGGATAAGTCTCACTCTTTTCCTGCTTTATTATCATTCTTGTGTCTATATTAAGCTTTTCTTCTTTATATTTAGTAATTGTATATGTAATGAATTATGTTTTTTACACGATGTATATTTCTCCTCATTTGTCAGTTACTGCTTTATACATTAAGTTTTCTCCTGCAAATGGAACTTCTTCTAATCTGCTTTAGGTTTAAGTTGTCTTCTATAAGCTTTACTATATGGTGGTCTCATCCATTATTTTTAAACTACAGTATTATTTTTTTCTTTTACTCTTTTGTTGCATTATGGTTTAAACATTTCATCTTTTTTGTGCCTTTCAACTTTTATTATCCTATTTGTAGGTTTTTCACGTTTCGTTTTCTCTCCACACATTCTTGTTTCTTAATTCTAGGAGGTGGAACTGCCTCTGCAGTTATGATAACCAAAATATAATGAATTCTTTAGCAGATGGCTTGAAGATTAATATTAAGAGAGAGAGGTGAAAGTTTATAAACTAAGGGAGGATGAAGTTAGGGTGAGATATAAGCAACTATTGGCAGAAAGGTGGGCTAGCTAGCACAAGTATGGGCAGTGGGGGGGGGGGGTTGAAGAGGGAAAGGATAGTTTTAAAAATGCAATATTACAATGTGAGGCAAATTTTGTGGCTATAGGAGAGTGGGTGAAGGAGGAAAGAGTGAGTGGTGGAATGATGAAGTAAAGGGTGTGATAAAAGAGAAAAAGGTAGCTTATGAGAGGTTTTTACTAAGCAAAAGTGACTTAAGAAGGGTAGAGTATATGGAGAGTAAAAGAAAAGTGAAGAGAGCAGTGAGAGAGTGCAAAAGGAGTGGGAGAGGCACTGTCAAAAAATTTTGCTGAGAATAAGAAAAAATTTTGGAGTGAGATAAACAAGTTAAGATAGTGTAAGGAATGAATGGATTTGTCAGTTAAAAACAGAGTAGGGGAGTTAGTAGGTGGGGAGTTGGAGGTATTGGGTAGATGGTGGAATATTTTGAGGAACTTTTAAATGTTGATGAAGAAAGGGAGGCAGTACAGCGATACCTTGCATATCCAGTCTGCCATTATCCGAACCTTGCCAGTATCCGAACAGGCCCTGGGAAAGGGCAAAATTCTAAAATTATTACCGAAACATCCGAACAGCCGTTTGGATACGGCAGAAGGCTGAATCAAACTTGGCTTGCACTTTAGTGTACTGGTTGGCCATTAGGTGCTGTGTTCTTTGCCACCCTCTGTGATATCAAGAAGGCTCATGATAAGTTTATGACCTACACAAGTGAGTTTTCTGCCCCCTCAGAAACTGGAGAAAGTGCCAAAAGAAAAGTGATGGCGAAGCCACAGAGCTTGGAACTCAATCAGTGCTTGATAAAGTGGTACTTATAACAATGTGATTGTGGTATGATGGTTCATGGCCCCAGCATGCAGGACTGGCTAGAGTGTGACGAAGATGCCCCTGGTGTGCAGTCTCTGACGGATGCAGAGATTGCAGAATCAGTGTTGCACCCGGAACATTCCGAAAGTGACGACGATGGCCCAATGCCTCCAAGACCAAAAACTTCAGCAGTAAGGGCAGGTGTTGAAACACTCTGGAGTCTTTGGAGCATCTTCTGTCCACAGCCCATTTGAAAAGTTATGGTCCTGTAGTCCATGAAATCCAGGAGGGTGTCATTCGAGCCCAGTGTGTTTGGTCCTACCGCCACACAACGTTGGCACCGTCGCCAATGGCAATATGATGGATATGACAGTATGGATGTGCATTTTTTTCCCTCATGTATCCGGAAACTCCGTGTTTCCAAACCGGTCTTGGCCCATATAGTTCGGATATGAGAGGTATCACTGTAATTTCATGCACTGGCCAGAGAGGTATAACATCTTTTAGGAGTGAAGAAGAGCAGGATGTGAGTGTGGGGGAGGTTTGTGAGGCATTACATAGAATGAAAGGGGGTAAAGCAGCTGGAACTGATGGGATTGTGACAGAAATGTTAAAAGCAGAGGGAGATATAGTGTTGGAGTGGTTGGTATTTTTGTTTAATAAATGTACGAAAGAGGGCAAGGTACCTAGGGATTGGCAGAGAGCGTGCATAATTCCTTTATATAAAGGGAACGGGGACAAAAGAGATTGTAAAAATTATAGGGGAATAAGTTTACTGAGTACACCAGGTAAAGTGTATGGTAGGGTTATTATTGAAAGAATTAGAGGTAAAACAGAGAGCAGGATTGCTTTAGAATGGGTAGGGGATATGTAGATCATGTGTTTACATTGAAGTATATATGTGAACAGTATTTAGATAAAGGTAGGGAAGTTTTCATTGCATTTATGGATTTACAAAAGGCATACGATAAAGTGGATAGGGGAGCAATGTGGCAGATATTGCAATTGTATGGAAGAGGTAGTAAGCTACTAAATGCTGTAAAGAGTTTTTATGAGGATAGTGAGGATTAGGTTAGGGTGTGTAGGAGAAAGGGAGATTACTTCCCAGTAAAAGTAGGTCTTAGACAGGGATACATAATGTCACCATGGTTGTTTAATATAATTTTAGACGGGGTTGCAAAAGAAGTAAATGCTAGGGTGTGTTATAAGTTTGAAGTCGTAACTTAAATAAAATGGTCCTGGCTCCTAAATGGCTGCTCAATCTGCTGTCTAGGGGCATTTAAATTACACTAAAAAAACAGCAACTCTAGGGCCAGCATGTACTCATATGAATTATGAAGCATGAGTGCAAATAATTAACTTTGTATAGGGAAGGACACAAAAAACTCAACTATACAAAAATATATATAATATAATAATAAGTAACTTATATACATATAACTTACAATCTACTCCAAAAAACCATCACACTCCAGTTCACATTAGCTCACTAGCACACTGCTACTAATGAGTTAAACAAAATAAATCATCAGGGAGGCTCCATGACACACACACACACCCCTCTTCACTTCTGCCTGGTAGACTAATTACCAGCAGGCAAAGCACCATACACAGGCCTCTGCATACTAGGGCAAACAAATAAACATGAGAGCACTTAAACACAAATACCTATAGTATTCACTAAAAAAAACCTACCCAACACCACATACTCACACCGCTACATCTTGCTTCCTCTGTTGTGCGTAACCTACTGCCTAAACACACCTCATCTGCTCCTGTCCTGGCCACTCTGCCTGTGACAGGAATAAAATGCTTCCGCTTTCAGGGAATAATACATATCCGCTTTCAGTTCAATCCTGGTACTGTGGAGCATTATTTTATAAAATATTTTTCTGTAGCACACTGCATAATAGGGTGTTGGGGAGAGGGGTGGGATTAAATTATGGGGAATCAAATACAAATTGGGGGTTGACACAGTTACTTTTTGCTGATGATACAGTGCTTTTGGGGGATTCTACAGAAAGTTGCAGAGGTTAGTGGATGAGTTTGGGAGGGTGTGTAGAGTTAGAAAGTTGAAAGTGAATATAGATAAGAGTAAGGTGATGAGGGTATCAAACAATTTAGATAAAGAAAAATTGGATATCACATTGGAAGGAAGGAATATGGAAGTGAATGTTTTCAGATATTTGGGAGTTGACTTGTCAGTGGATGGGTTTATTAAGGATGAGGTAAACCATTGAATTGATGAAGGAAAAAAAGGTGAGTGGTGCTTTCAGGTATCTGTGGAGATAAAGAATGTTATCCATGAAGGCAAAGCAGGGAATGTACGAAAGTATAGTGGTACCAACACTCTTATATGGGTGTGAAGCATGGGTTGTAAATGCTGCACCGAGGAGGCGGCTCGATGCAGTGGAGATGTCATGTCTAAGGGCAATGTGTGGTGTAAATATTATGCCGAGAATTCGTAGTGTGGAAATTAGGAGAAGGTGTGGAGTTACTAAAAGTATTAGTCAGAGGGCTGAAGAGGGGCTGTTGAGGTGGTTTGGTCATTTAGAGAGAATGGAACAAAGGAGAATGACTTGGAGAGCATATAAATCTGTTGGGGAAGGAAGGTGGGGTAGGGGTCATCCTTGAAAAGGTTGGAGGGAGGAGGTAAAGGAGGTTTTTGTGGGCGAGGGGCTTGAACTTCCAGCAAGAGTGCATGAGTGTGTTAGATAGGAGTGAATGGAGACAAATGGTTTTCGGGACCTGATGAGCTGTTGGGGTGTGAGCAGGGTAATATTTAGTGAAGGAATTCAGGGAAACCGGTTAGCTGGACTTGAGTTCTGGAAATGGGAAGTACAATGCCTGCACTTTAAAGGAGGGGTTTAGGGCATTAGCAGTTTGGAGGGATGTCTAACCTGTTGTATCTGAGCGCCTCTGCAAAGACAGTGATTATGTATGAGTGACAGTGAAAGTGTTGAATGATAATGATAGTTTTTTCTTTCTTTTTGGGTTACCATGCCTCAGTGGGAAATGGCCGACGTGTTAAAAAAAAAAAATGTAATTTCACATTAGAATACAGGTTAGCCATCACTAATCCGGCAGTCAGTAATCTGATACCATCAGTAATCCGGCACTAATTTCAGCTAGCATAATTTCAAATTTCCTGGGTCGCCACACCAACCTGCCGCTGTGGCAGTGCTACTTGCTGCATGAGTCATTCCAATTTCTTTTTCTCCATTTATTGTTATAACCTGCTCACTTTTAGCTCTATCCATGGTTCCAGCGAATAAAAGAAAGATTTCTCGTTGTGTAAAGCACATACACTGTACATTGTCCTTAAAAGATAAGGTGGCTTTGAAGCCACTGTTGGTCGCCATGAGCTCAGCTCTCTCAGGTAAGCTGTGACCGGTAAATTTGGGCCTATATATGAGAGAATAGGTCTGTGTGGTAAGTGTGCAATATATAAAAAAATCCTGCAGCATGCAGTACTTAATGAGAAACTGCAACTGTTGATGTAAAACAGCAACTTTGCAGTGTATTTTCGTATGGTTTGTTTGGTTGTATTCTCGTTTTTTTTATCTCATTTGAAAGAATGGAAGATATGTTACAGAAATAGGTATAATTTTGATTGGTTTCATGTTGGCAAATACCTTAAAATTGAGCTCAAAATGGCAGAAATGTTCAATTTTTGCCAATACTCAAGAGTAAACAAATGACGTCACCATCCAGTATGTGTCCAGCTGGCTGGTCTGATATGTAGCCTTGAATTGGTTGACATTATTTATACAATTATTACAATAATGCAGTAGTCTGCATAACAGTAAATCTTCTATGTTTTGTGTGAATATTTTAGTGCTAGGAAAGTCTGCACTGTTTATTCTGGACCCTATTTTGAAATTGGCATCTCTTGAAATTTGTGTGAAATTGGCCAAATTACCGATTTCTGACTACTTTATTAGGTAGTTGAAATGGATAAATGGGCAGTTTCTTGTACTCAGTTGACAGAATAGAAGGAATACTAGCAAAATAGCTGTGAGTTTGGTAGACTGGAACAGTGGAATGGCCAAAAATAGGGCATAAATTGGGTGAAATTGCCGATGCATAAATATCGCTGTTGGGTCAAGTGTATTCTAACCTTATGCTGTAATCCCGCAAAATCACTAATCCAACACCCTGTAGGTCCCGATGATGCTGGATTAGTGATGGTCAACCTGTATTAAAATAAGTATTGCAGGATTTAAATAATTACCATAAAAATGAATAAATGCCATTATACTATGGTTATGAAACAATGATATTACATTCTTTTCTGAACTTTTATCAAATTCACTTGACTTGATAATGCAGTCCAGTACAGATCAAAATATTGTATAGTTTCATATCAAATTTTCTCGGTTAACCCTCTGTCCAAATGTAGATCTACGTTTGCTCGTGTAGTGCTCCGAACGTAAATCTACATATTTTTACATTCTTTCTTAGGGAGAAAATCAAGGTCAGAATGCTACATGCACAAACGTGAGTCTACATTTGGACAGTTTAAGGGTTAATTGGAGAAATAATTACTGTACAGTACTGGTAGATAAGCAGATAGAATTGTTTAATATATGTGGTAGCTAGGGGGATCTGTAGATTCTTAAGTAAATTACTTGTGCTTTTCTTTTCTTAATAGGGATGTACCTGACCAACATCTTGCTCATTGAGGAGGGTAACCCAGACTTTCTTCCTCGGGCTGCAGAAGGTCTTATAAATTTCTCCAAGAGGCGAAAAGTTGCGGAGATCACAGGGGAAATTCAACAGTACCAAAATCAACCATATTGTTTAGAAGTGGAGCAACGCATTAGAGTGAGTGCCCATACTTACTGCCTGTTAATCTGTAATTTAGTAATGGAATTATTTCTTTGGTAACTTAAGTAAACATTCCATATTGATATGCCTTTACACTTGTACACAAACTTCAGAGTTATGATTGATCACTATACGTACAAGTCATTACTTGCATATCTAATTATGGTAGTTCAGTCTTTATGTAGGTACTGCTATGGAGGTACTTTATATCATGGTGTTTCACACAGTCTGTTAAATGCATATTAAAGTTTCATTCTCTGGAAGAACAGCAGAATAAAATAATGTTGAGAACTGTACAGTGAATAGCAAATGAAAAAATATTGTTACATTTCAGATCACTCTAGAATTATTCTTCATCATCCCTCCCCTCTTCCCTACCCAAAAAATTACTGCTGTTCCAACTAAAAATTGCATTTAATTGACATTTCGGTATGTGTCATTCATAGTACTGGTGGAGAGAGAGAGGATTGATGTCAGCTTACTTGGACAGTGTGACTGGCTGTAATTCTTGTGTTGATGCAGATTTTGTAGTCTACTGCTGTCAGATAAGAGAGAATTACTTAGTCGTACACAGTGAACCTTGGGAAAATTAAGAGGTATGCCCCTATGCTTGTGTCAGAGTTGTGATTCATGCTATGAGGCACGATCATGGCCTACAAGATACAGTACTGCAAAATATAGATAGGGTAGAAAAGGACAAATTTTTCAGGCAGAAAATCAACTTAGCTTTAGAGAACTAGGGAAGTATCTTAGTGCAAGTGTAGGAAATAAGTTTGGCAGAGACATACAGGAGTTCAAATGCAAATATGATTAAGCTGGTTATGGACACTCATTTGAAAATTTAGAGCTGCCTACAAACAAATTACCTGTCTCCAGACCCTTCATGGGAGATTCCTTGTTTTTGGTGAGGGGTTCTTGATCCAGGGAATTGGACTTGCCTTCCCTTCCTTGGATTAAGTCTGAATGCTTGCCTCCCATTTCCCCAGACATTGTATATTCCCTATGGTTCAGCATGTAGTGCCACATAGTGATCACAGGATATCCACTTCCTTGTCATAAGCCATGTCACATGTATTCATCCTCACCCCAGTCCCAGTGCTCAGTGGACACTTGCAGCAGGGTGTGCTGAGTCTACCATGGTCTGGGGTGCAGCTGCCAATATCAGCATCATAGAGGCGAGCTAGTGTCCTGGACTCTGGCTCAGTTTTTCTTCTCATTAGATTTTCTCTTTAATCACATGTACGTATTTGTGTATCTTCGGATAATTTTTGTTCTTGTTACATGACTTCATTTTATTTTTGCTCGTTTTTATTGTTCATCATAATCATTATCTGCTGCTGCTCCTGTTTCCCTACTGCTGCACTTCCTCCTGCTGCTTCTGTTTCCTTTTGCTCATGTTTGTCCTACTGGTCCTGTTCTTCCTGCTCCTGTTCCAACTGCTGCTTCTGTTCCTTTTCCTACCTGGTGCACTTTCTGTTCCTCTTGCATCCCCTCTGGTTGCTTCTCCATGCATGACAAGGTTTCGAGTTCTGTTGGTGCCCAGGCAATGTTGGTGTCATGGGAAATGAACATTCAGGTGCTGAGGCAACAGCTGCTTTTTCAATTTGACCTTATAGCAGACTGCTGCCTCACAGTAACTTCATGGACCACATACATATATATGATCCTGGTAAGTGGCAGGCTTGGGGGGGGCCTGCAGATGATAAGCAAGTTATGGTATACAGAGTTTGGCAGGACATTTATGGCCCTGTCCATCAACAGGACATATTACTTTGAGATGACTATCGATTGAGTATTGGACACACACATCTCACCCGTAGCCACATGTCTACCAGTGCTCCTGTTGTCTTTGTATGGCTTGTGGTGGGCAGCTGACCATGG